GGAGCAGTTTACATTGTTGAAAATCCTTAAATGGCCAACATCATCTTCAAGCTTTAGATATGAAAGTTTTGCATGTAGTCATTGATTTAAGAACAAAGCTGTAAGTAGCCTGATGTATTTATTTTTCTTTGTTCACCGTGAAACACTGAAAAAGCAAAAATACATCAGAAATCAATTTAACTCCTGTTGGGTTGAGAAGGCTGAGATGTGAAATTTATGTTTTTAAAATATTTCATATTCAGCACATGGGTAGCACCGGCCATATTCTTTATAGAGAAAAATAATTACAGAGAAATTGGAAAAAATCAGTTCTTCACTGAAATTCTTGTTTTCTCAAGTTGAATGAGCAACAGTTTTACCATTTATGATGTAGAATTTTACATGGACACACTGATGCATAGTTTTGATTCTTCCCTCTAGTCTCTTTTCTCTTCGTGACATCTTCACCTGTTCCAGGTTGGTCCATTCTCCCATGTAACAAATTCCTGTTTTTGTTCTGTGGGAAATATTTGGATTTTGAATCTTTGTTATATCTCTCTGACAGATAGTCAGCTCAGACTAGCTGGGTCTGGGTCCACTCAGTGCTCTGGAAGAGTTGAAGTCTATCACAGTGGCTCCTGGGGAACAGTCTGTGATGATGACTGGGACTTAAAAGATGCTGAAGTGGTCTGCAGGCAGCTGGGCTGTGGGGCACCAGAGAGTGTCTATCAATCAGCTCACTTTGGTGAAGGTACAGGACAAATCTGGCTTGATGATGTGGCCTGTTCAGGAACTGAAAGTTCTCTAACCGCATGTCAACACAGAGGATTTGGGACACATAACTGTGGACATGGTGAAGATGCTGGTGTCACATGTTCAGGTGAGACGACTCTTTCTTAAATTTCGTGGTTGGTTCAAGCTTAACACATGAATATGTATCTTTAAGTAAGGAGGGTAAGGAGGAACTTTAGTTTGTCTTTTTCTTTTCATCATCTCAAATAGATTAATTAAGACAACAACAATTTGAAATATAGAGCTAAACCTCAGAAAGTCAAATATATGATTTTGTGTTTTTGTGTTTCAGTGATCCTCCCCAAGCCCAGCATCTCCATGATTCCTGTGGGGAATGTGACCTGGGGCCAAACTGTTAGCATCACCTGTTCAATCTCAACTCAGCATTTAGGTGGAACATTCACTCTGCAGCAGACCTCAGGTTCATTCAGGAAAAGCCAAACATCAAGTAGAAACTCTGTTACCTTCAACATCCCTCAAGTGACCTTCAGTAATGAGGGATTGTACCAGTGTCAGTATCAGACAAGGATTTCAAGCCGAGACTTCAGCTCCCCACAAAGTGATTCTATTAGAATCTCTGCTACTGGTAAGAACTGAAATGTGAAATTTTCTATTTGGACAGACTGCTGATGAAATGTTAAAGAAGTTGTAAGTCAGCTTCTATCAGCCTACAAGACTATAAGTGCACTTGATCCACTCATTTGTCAGAATGGTTTGAAAGGTTTCAATTAGTTGGATTTTCTGAAAGAAAACAATAGCATGGAGTTTGGCTAAATACAGGGTAAATTTAAATTTAACAAAGTTGGCTGGACGGTCAAAAGGGAAAATTTATTTTCCAATCATTGTTTCAATGTGTTTTCATGTAGTTCACAAAGGCAATGAAAGAAGCTAGGAAGATATCACTTTTCTCACAGACCACTATTCGGTTATTTCTCAGTGATTCTCCCCAAGCCCAGCATC